TTTTGTCCTAGTGGCACACATTGAGATTGATGCGAGATTAAGGACCATCACCCTCCTAACAATCGATGGAAATGACAATTCATCTGAATTTTTTGTCAGTTATTCTCACGTTGATTACCTGAACGTGTGTACCTCATTTATAGATGCTTTATTAAAACAAAATTGTCTATGTCACTTTCCTATCTTCCTCTGTTTTACAGAACTCAGCTAATACTGCAGCCAAGTAACTTCATTTCCTTACCTCTTAATCAGCTGGATGACAAACCTAACCTGTTTTCTTTCTGTACGTGTTAGTTTATGTAATAGGTTCTGCATTGTCAGATCTATGCTGAACCTATTGTTTTCAGTAGTAGTCTGATTTGTCCCTGTGATAAGCCCTGTGGAGATGTGATTATTCCAATAAAAATTCATTCAGTTGGAAACCAACCCTCCAGCTGTTTACTCCCACAGTCCCCAAGCTACACTAACACTGTATGGAAACCTTGAACAATATTTAACATGGAATCAAAAGCATCTTTAAAACATTTTACTTTAGGCTTTGTAACATTGTGTAACCTTAACAATGGATTTCTAGCATCCATGAGGGAACACTTTACAGTTAGACAACTTTGAGCCTTGACTGCTGTGTTCATCTTTGTGGAAAGCTATCGAAACTTCCCTGTACCTAAAGAACACATCTGACAGTAAGATTTCAAGTGTTCATGTGTGCACTCTCTATATTGCGTATAACAGAAGTCATGCAACTCTCGAAGTTTCTTAAAAAGAAAATGTGTCTGAGTAAAAACTATATACTGCCGTGCTAAAGCCAGCTCTGGCGTGTATAATGTATGCATCAGTTTGCAATTTTAGCTGCTTCAATGTTCGGCAGCACAGAGACACTGTAAATCTATTACATATGTTCTTTTCCGGGATAAAAAGAGGTTTGCTTTTTAAGGAAGAGCTATGCTGGTCACATAATTTATTTATTTTAATGTTCTAGGCTTGAAAAGCAAATAATTTGCACTTGTGCTCTTTTCTGGTTTGATTATTGTTGGTGTTTTCACTCTTTGGCAGGTCCAGCTGCCCTAAGCACACCAGCTCAGCTTGTGGCACCCTCGGTAGTAGTGAAAGGCACTCTTTC